GAAAAAATCTTAATAATGACAATATCATTAGTCTTCTTGATATTCTCACCAAAAAAGATTTTATTTCTCTGATTAAATATTGATGATGATGACTGTTTGGTCATTTGGTTTTTAATAAAATATTTATCTGAGATTGTTTGCTTATCAGCAACATATGATGGTGATGACCATGGTGATGTAATTGAAGTTGAATAAGAATCATAGTTAATTGAATCACGTGATATAAATGAAGGTTCATAAATATTGCTGCTTCGGTTACTTTTTGTCTTGTAATCATCATCAATCAGACTTATTGATGATGAAGAAGTTGTTGTGGGTGATGGTGGGATTGGATAAGAAGATTTAAAAGGAGATGTTACTGCTGTGTTAATTATTTCAATGTTAGAAGCCGAGTCAATTATTTCAATGTTAGATGTTGAGTCAATATTTATATTAGAAAAAATCGGTGATGGTGGCAACGAAGGTGATGGAGGAGGTGATAGTGTCAATGGATCGATTGACAAAATTGTATGAAGGGACAATAAAAATTCAACACTTGAATAATCCATTCCTCTTTCTGATAATATAACCGGCCCAACTGCACAAAAACCAAGCTTTGTTAAATTGTCCCAAAGTTTCTCTGACTTATCATTAGATGGGCCAATTTTTATTTTATCTGTTGGACATCCCTGACTACTTGAAAGTACACAATGTATAGTCAATGTGCTTATTTTGTCAACCAAAAACAAAGAAACTGGTGATTTTAATTCAGACTTAGAGGTTGTCCAGTAATCTTTAGTTGAGTGCTTTTCTTTGTCCAGTTTAAACTCTAAAAAACCAGACATTCCACACATATCTTTATATTTTAAACCAGTTATTAAGATCATCCCGATCCTTTCTTCCTCTTCATAAACTCTTTGTAATATGTTCTTGGGTGGCTTATTTTCTACAAAGTAAATTTTGAATGTCAATTCAACTTGATTTTTCTCTGTCTGTAAATTCAGGGTAAACACATTTTCAGAGTGTTCGTAATTTTCCGAGCGATATAGGTTCTCCTTTGCCTCGATTATAACACCATCCGGTCCTTTTACACTATTATCCCAACATCTAATAATTAGCTCAGACTCTTTCACAGAATCCAACTTTCGCAAATTTAATAAGATACTCTCATTCCACGATGCCTTTTTGCTTGATTTATCCGAGGCTAGGGTACTTTTATAAAAGAAAATAATAAATCAATAAAAATTTTATAATTCACAAAATATTAATTAATCATAATCATAATTACACTTTACGAGGAGCTGTGTATTTGTGTTCATTCTCAAACACGAATTCCATTTGCAATTTTGGCTCATTTGCCATTTTAAACTTATTATTAAATTTCGAAAACTTCTTTCCTTGTGATTCATTTGTTAAACGGCTTTATTATTTATAAAGAAAATTATTTAAATTAATATTATTTTATTTTTATTTTGTTTTATTTTGAACTTTCGATTTATTATTTACCATTTTATTTTTTTAATTAAAATCCCTCCTTCATTGTCATTATAAAAATTCATTTTTAATATATAGTAATAATAACTATTATTATTATATTGAGATGTTTTTATTTTTCGAAAAAAGTGTTTAAATATAAATTCTTGGATGATTGACATGCAACTAAAAATACAAATATTACTAAATCAGGCAATTAAACAATGAAACCATTTTTATTGTTTTATTTCTTGATCAAGATTAAAAAATATGTTTTCAGAAAAATAAATAACCATTATAGAATTTCCATTTATAGAAATGTTGTCGATATCACAAATTTTTTCGACATTAATCGTGGAATAATATTCTATATTAATAATCGTTAAAATAATCATAGTAACAGAGTGGATAAATATATTTTTGATTAGGAATAGTTTGACTTTTTTACTTGTTAGCAAAGTTTGTTGCTTATGGTTTTCAAGTGATAGTAATT